CGTTGGCAAGGAAACCATTGCCAGCCTTGTCAAAGTGGTGAATCTTGTAGGAAGATTGGCCCTCCCTGCAACAGAAAAACTGCCCACCACTAGTGCCACCACGCCCTGTTTCATAGGCTTCCATGGCAGTGACCTGCCATCGGCTCCTGGCCATCTCATGGGCCGCTGTGAGCAGCTTGGGGCCAGCAACATGTGTCTCAACCAGCATGGCCAACTGGAGGTCCTGCTGCAGCAACCATTCTTTGGCATCTCGGTTCCATTGCGTGACATTGCTGTACAAAACTTCAATGCCCTCTCCACCTGTGCGTGGCCGTTTGGGTGGTGGATCAAAGCTTCCAATGGAATGGGTCCAGAAGGTGCTATGCTCCGCTTTGGAGGCCCACATCATGACAGCACAGTCCACACTGCATCTCCAGCCACCAGCATTGCCACATAGTGCCCCGAAGTCAGATGTTCGCCTTGGTGGGCTATGATGCCACGAAGGACAAATGTGGATTGCCTTGCATGGCCAGTCGAAGTCTTCTGTGGGCAGCGAAAGCTGGATGGTGTAAACAGGCGGTTGTGGTGCTTGACCCAAGCCTTTGCCGCAGTATCGAGGGAGTAACGACCCACATGAAACACAATATGCTCCACCTCACTGCCCAGACATTGCCCGCTTGCTTCATTTGCCCAGGCACTCAGAAGCGTCTCAAAGTTGACATCATCACCTGCATCAACTGGCATGCGGACAAACAGGGGTATGGTGTCAAACTCATGCTCCCGGCCACCAAACAACGAATGCCAGTTGCCCTGCAAGCCAGTCTGCCCCCATAGTTCCCACAGATGAACAAGGAACTCACTAGCATCGTGCTGTTGCTGGGGATGCTCCAATCGTGCCAGGGCCGGTTGCAACTCCGACGCCCAGAAGATATCGTCGATGACATCCTGCTGCAAGATTTGGAGGCATAGGTTGGTGGAAGGCCCCCAAAACTCCTTAGGGTTTGAGTGATGCGCACCCATCCAACACCACAGGCGCAGCACAGTGTTGGCATAGCACCTGTTTCCCTTGTTGCCAATGGTGAGGGTCAAATTGGCTGCCAACAACTCATTGGCCGGTGGGATCAGTGGTGCATGTTCCACCAGCCTCGTCAAGGGTAAGCTACTCTGGAGCGCTGAGCGCATCTTCAAGATGTGCTTCAGAGCCTCAAGGCCCCAAACCCGGGTCTCAACTTTGCCAAAGCCCAAATCCTCCCGGCAGTCAGCCGGAAGAGCCTGGAGTGCTTCCATCGCTCTTTGTTGCAAAATCATCATTCTGTCTTGCAAGTGCCCAGGAGTGAGCTGATCATCACCTGTGGGCTCCACATCATGCAACACTTCTTCCATCTCAGATGCATGACCACGCTTGCCTCCGCCAAGGAGGGCACATGGTCCAACCATGGACTGGGCAAGCAACTGAGTCCCACCTACAGCAGGCCGGGGGGACCCCAACCGCTCTGACATAGAAGAACTCGGTGTCACCCAGCTCCAGGCTGTGTGCATCCATGGTCTCATTCCTTGTGAAAGCTTCTATCTTTGTAGAATGCACTGTCTCATTGCCATTGCCTCCGGACATGGCCGACATGACCCGCCCTGGCTCTAAAGCAAATGAGTTGTCTTGATCAACACCCATATCAATGTCATAACTTTGCAAGTCGTGATCCTGCGCAAATGGACTTTCATAGTACCTTGCACAACCAACATACGGCTGCAGGCTGCCAAGCCAATATGAAGAGTCCACTTGACCCTGGTCACAACGCTCACAAACAAAATGCTCACAATCACAACTGCCCTGTGCATATCCCCGCGCACAAGGAGAAGTTGCTCCGTGTCTCCAAACCGTCAAACAGTCTCTGGCGTTTGACTCATCCCCACCAGCTGTCAACTGTTTAAACTCAGTGTTGTGCCAACAGGACCCCATCACTGTTGCAGCAAAATCCCATTTTCCCATGCCATCACAAAGTACTGCACTGTTACCCACTCTGTGGGAGATCACCAGTCTTGCGGCGCTTTGCCAAGGTTTCGGCAAGGTTGCCTGCTTCTTTTGGGAAAGCTGGCACAGCTCTCCCACCGTGGCCTTGAGTTGGCCAGTGACATCAACCGGAGCTGCAGGGGCCGGTTGAAGTAGGCCTTCAACAGCTGAGCGAACTTCAGAAGGGAGGGCCTCAAGATGAGCCTTGAGGACTTCTTCCAGCGGCTGCATCTCAGGCTCCGGGGTGTAGTCGATGCCCACTCCTTTGAGGGCCTCTTGCACCTCTTTGGTCAGAGAACTCCACCCTTTTCTGAGGGCACTCTCAGCCACTGACTCTGGCTGCCGGCCCCCCAGGCCCGGCGGCTTGTCCACTAGGACAGTGCGGTCACTTCGAGGTCGAGGGCGAGGAGAGCTCTTGTTGGTCAGACGGCTCTTGACCTTGTCATGCGGCCACTGCTGGCCACAGTGGTCACAGCACCATCTGGTGTTTGAGACCCGGTCAGCCCAAATCCACGACCCTGTGCACCCACCACAGACGTAGTAGGATCGTCTCGAGCGCACCTTATTGAAGCCATCCCATGTGCCACCAGTCATCTGCCAGGAACAAACTGGTAAGTGCCCTTGTCCTGGTCAAAGGGAGCTTCTTCTCAGCGTACTCCTCGATTGTGGGCAAAGAACCAGTGCCCAAGAGGAAGTCCCACAGCCCAGTCTTGAGCCGAAATCTTGAGCCGCTCTCTCGCTCTCTCTCTCTCTCTCTCTCGCTCTCTCTCTCTCTCTCTCTCTCACGCGCTCTCTCTCTCTCTCTCTCACGCGCTCTCTCTCTCTCTCTCTCTCTCCTCTCTCTGTCTCTCTCTTGGCTGCCTAGCCGTCTGTTCGTTTCTCTCCCGGCCCGGAAAGAGCTTGAATGTGCTTGAGAAGATGAGAAGCTGCCAAGTTGCGGTGTGTGATCATCCCAGAATGCTTTGAAACGAAGCACCTTCCTCAATTGCGGCCGAACAAATCAGACCCGTTGTGAGCAAAAGGGTAGGCACATAAAATGCGCATCAAAGGATCCGCTCGTTCAGGGCGAACTGCGTGAATTTCATGTCCACATGCGGAGCTCCGCTCATAAATTTGGCCAAGTTCTTCGCCTTCGCAGGCGCCAAACGAATTGAAATATATGTGTGTTGATTTATTCATATATGGATATACAGTAAATTAAGAGGTTGCGATCAAGACAGGAAGCAAATGAATATTACAGTAGTCTGCAGTCTGATGAAACCTGAGGAGGATGAGAATGAGCATGACGGATGAGGAAGAGGAGGAGGATGAGGAGGGGAGGATGAGGAGGACAATGCACGATGAAAAGGAGAAGTAGGATGGATCGGGAACAGTGTTACTTTTACGAAGCTTGATATTTCAAAAAAAAAATACAATAAACAAAACTATTTAATTTAAAGAAAGAAAACAATAAGGATGAGCGTGACGATGAGCATGGATCAGAAAAAGGAAGAGCCAACCAGAGTCACACCCGACCAGGGCGGAGCATTACAGCCCTAAACTCCTTGACCGAACAAATATCAGTCTCTACCGTTTCTGGGTGACAGGATGCCGCCATTTGAAGACAAAGCACAGAAATTACAGCAGATATACCGATATACCCAAAGCAACTTTTCGTAAAAACAGGCATAATAGTTGCCAAATCTTTCTCATGACCCATGCGGACAACCCATCGCCACTCCCCACTTCTGAATCCAAGCATCTTCCACTTGTGCCTTGGTCAATGGCTTTTGACCCTTTTCTATGCTTTTCCTCAGCTTGTACGTCTTGTGCCACTCATCCTCCACCATTGGCTCTTCAGGCGGTAGCGATATCCCATTCTGCCTCGGAAGTGCCGGGAAGAATGCCAGTGACATCATGGATCAACGCATTCTGTCATTCAGACCAAGTGTTGAAAGTAGGACGCCGACTCAAAAAACCATCTCGTGAACCTATCACACCCACTGATGTGGATGGTCCGGCCAAAGATAGTGATCTCGCTCCCAACACGCAGGTCATCCGGGCCAATATATGCAAGCCCGTCTTCACGCCACACCTTTTGCCGCTTCAAGAAAGATCCTTGAGCAATTCCGGAGTTCTCCACCTTCGGTTCGTTCATGCTCATGGTCCCATCCTCCATGTGGAACATGATGGAAACATGTCGATAGCGTGCATTTTCGTCTGGCCGTTCGGTCACGGTTTCTTGGAAGAAGCCATAAAACCGGAGCACCTGCAAAGAACGAAAGCATCTAGTCATCTGAGCACATCTGGAGTCTTCTATCGGCCTGCTTGTCGTGCTTGAGCCAGGCAGGAGCATCCCTAGGTTGGCGCATATTCGAGGGAACCGTGTCCTGTTGAGTCAAAGAGGTTCAGTTTGCAAATGCAGTTTATAAATATATATATGTGTGTGTTTGTGTTTTGTTAATTTTTCTACATTATACAGTTATGCTGATATATTGTATACACACACGAATTGTATGCGTGCTGTTTCATTTCCAACACACCACCTGCCAATACTCGGACCATGAAGTCAGAACAGTCGTCCTCATCTGGTGGTGGTCCCGAGGGCTGCTCAGTGTGTACCATTCGCCAGCCTTCAGTTCACAGCATACAACTTTCTACAGTGATGACCAGAGAAGATGCCACACCCAACCTGCTGTCTGCAGAAGTCCTGCTAGCTCTCTAGTCTGTTTGGTCGGCGCTGGTCCTTCACATCATGATGAGAAAGGATATAATTGGGAGCATTGGAATACCTTCAGAATCTGTCCTTGCTTCCTATCCACAGCAGAGTCCAAATTGCCGCCGACTGAGAATGCTAAGGTGGCCTTGCTCGCAAACTGATGTTCATTGATGCTGCGATTTCTTTCCTGCTCTGCCTTCTTCAAGTTTCCTGTCGAACCTCTTGGCTTTTCAAGGCCAATCTTCCATAGGCCTGTGCAATGTGGGGCACATCGAAACTCAACAAACTGATTTGATCTGATTTGAACTACCCCACCAGGCAATGAAGTTGACTTCGCCATGCTCAATGCCATTGGCCACAGGAAGCACTCCTGCCACGACTCGTGGCTTTGCTGAGAAAACGACACCTCAAAGCCCGACAGGCCACTGGGCCTCTGTGAGGCCTTCTGCCTTGGCAAACGCCGGCAAGCTGGAGATTTCACTCCCAGCTTTGAGCCAAAATGTCAAGAGCTGGGTTTCAGTATGGCCCTGGTGGCTTGTGGCTTGGTGCCAAAAATGACAAAACAACACGCCTTCAACGTGTAAAAAGCAAACTCAAGACTCTCAAGACATGCCTCCCTCACATGTACAAGCTACTAGGACGCTATTAGGTGGAGGCCATCGCAAGTAAATTGGAGGCCATCGCTGGTAACAAAAAATGGAGCCTTTGTTCTTTTTTCAGTATGTCCCCCCCACCTCTTCGGAGCCTCCTAGTAGCGTCCTTGCTCCGTTCGTAGCGACGCCCTTTGCTCCTAGTAGCGTCCTTGTTACTTCTAGTAAGGCACTTGTTACTAGAAGCGATGCACTTGTTCCTAGTAGCGTCCTTGCTCCTAGACTTGCTTTTCGGCCATCTTTCCAGTTGCCTGCAAAGTCCTGACGGCAGGGTGCAAATGACACCGGCTACATTTCGTATCGGTTCGCGTCTCACGGCCAAGACCCGCGCATAATCATCTGGCCCTTTTGAGTTGCCTCGCTTTCCGCATCCTTTGACCATGCTGAGCTTTATGTCGCGGCTCCTTTGGTTGCTTTGACATCACTTTGCCCCTGCTGGGCACTATCATTACTATAAGCTCCTTTGGAATAGGATTTTTCGGACTTGGTGGTAGGCCTGTTCTAGTTATGCATTCTAGTTGTCAAATGTGGCTCTTTACTCCGTGTTCTAGTGTGTTTGTTATTGGGTCCAGTCGGATGGTTCAGCGCGCAGTAGAGATGTTAAATCCTCTTGGAAATCGGATGCCTGGAGTTTCTTTCCCCGGGGCATGCCGGGTTTTGCGCGAACCAGCTGATTGGGGACGGGGAGTGTGGGTGGTTATGCCTTGTGCTGCAATCGGCTGCACAGATTTTGTCATGGGTTTCATTAAAAAGGGGGGTGGAGGGGGATGGTTTCGTTTTGTTTTGTTGTTGGTGTTGCTGTTTGGGTTATCGATGACGTGATAAATGACATAAAATATGGTTTGATATATGATATGTGCGAGGAACTTACTGCTTCGTTACTTTTTCCATTTGAGCAAGTGGCAGAGAAACAAATGAAGAGTTTGCTACAGCTACAGAAGATCAAGTCATCAAGTACATATATATACAGTGTATGTATATATATATATCAAGACAAGTGACAAAGACAAAGACAATGACAATGTCGGCTCTTCGTGTGAAAAGATACATCCACTGGAGCTCGTCTTCTTGAACACAAACATGAACCAATATGTTTCCACCTTGCCAGAAATAACTGCGCGCACCGGCACCGAGAAAAAAACCGCCCTGATCCTCAAATTCCACGCTGTTTTACATCATTGCAGGCGCGCCGAACCACCTGATCGGCGCATTGTTGCTGGTTGCTTCTGCGGCTAGATATTGCTAGATTCCATACTTGTCGTCGACCTGTTGGAGTTTCGCAATATTTTTAGTAAAAAACCCAACTGTACATTCATGCACCCCAACCTGAGGGAAGCCGCAAAGGGATGAGCAATCAATCATGATCCACCTTTGAAACATCCCCACACATTCTCGGCGTGCTTTCCTTTTCTGCACGTTATCTCTGACTTCTTGCCGACGTTGCCATGGTGAGGCTTTGCACAATGCAGGGCGAATGTTGGCTTGACCAAGCACTTCTCTGCATCAGCGCATGCACTTGCGCCTTGAACTACTCGCTCTTAGAGCGACAAGCAAACTTCCTCACATTGGACTTTGCATTCTGTAAACCACCTCATACTGAAGGAAGCTAGATCTACAAAACAAGCCCCTTCTAAGGTGATGCTGGAAAGTGATGACACTACGGGCAGCCGCTTGAACTTCCTCTCCAGGGGCATGTTCATTCACCAAGTCGATATTCATTTCCTCCTTGGCAATCACCGCGGGTAGACCGTGACACCTCTGGGATGGCATACCAATATCTGCTTGAATCTATCTTCTGTATCTGGTCTATCTGGGCTTTATCTTCTGTATGTGCTGGAAGAGCGCAGAAGATCTGAAACCGGGGCAGAAGATCTGAAAGGATGTGTTGCTCCTCAGCCTCCTCCACATTTGATCACATGTGTGCCACATCACATCCCTAGTGATCGCTCCCCAAAAAAAAAGTAAAAGAGTGATGTAACTTAAGTGACTCTCCACTGCACTGAGCACAATCAAGAAGAGACATGTTGGCACACATGTGATAAGCTCGGGATTGGTTTCCACAAAACAGGGGTAGCATGGAGCGATGTTTGGGCCAGAACATGCTCCCAAGACTCCCAAGAACAAGAAATTCTGCCAAGCATCCAACTCTAAAGGCCCTGGCCTTCACAGGCTCCTCTCCCCAGGACGAAAGAACCTTCGAAGAGAGCTGGAGCAAGCGAAATTGTGCCAGGAAAGCTGATAGTTGATCATCGCATCGCGACATGCATCAAACAATCACCAACAATCACCTTTATCTACAGTGCTCGGGTGCCTCTGCTGCAAGGGCCTTGACTGCTGGGTGACGGTCACGCAAGCCTCGACTTAAACCCCTAGCCACACTCAGCCGCTCAGCCAAAACAGCTCTCAGTTTAAGCTATCTGTGACCAAGCAGCGATTGGAGATCGCAGAGATGCGTTCTGAGTCTGGATCTAAGGCACCCAGTAACTTCAGAGAAGTAAGCCGCACCTGCTCGTTTAAGACTAGAAGGCACAGCTCACACACAACAAAATCGAACGAAACTAACATGTGGAGAAAGAATCGTGGGAAAACTATGAAATGAAGGAGGATGTCAAACAGCCGGGCTCGGATTGAAGCTCCTCCACTGTCTGGTCCTCAAGGCTTGCTACTAAAGCATCTCCAAGCTGTGATCGCAGGTCCTGGCACAGCTTGCTTGCACCGTCACAGGAAGCAAACCACTTCAGCCGTGACAGCCAACGTCCTCTGGAACCACACAGTCCAAAGCCTGCAGCAACCTTGGCGCATTCGTGCTCCAATTTCAAGACTGCACGGGCTCCAAGCTCCAGGAGACAATTTCCGCTCCCCAGCACCGGCATCCAGTGTGCTTTTATCCCGCATCGTCTCCAAATGGCCTCAAACACTCAGCATGAATCCGAACAAAAACGTTCAAACTAGGTGGCGCCAAGTGGCAAAGAAGCACGGCTGACATTGCCTTTTGAGAACAATGTCATGTCGTTTGAATTTGTCGTTGCCTCCCCGTGAGGTTCAAAGGGAAAATAATCCGTCCTCATCGGCGACGCCGGCGGCTGTGATGAGAGCACGCAAAGCTGCTTTCCGGTTGTTGATGTTGCCATACCTCAGGCAAAGACTGCCTGATTGTTGCTGACCCTTCCTTCCTCTCGCGCTGATCAAGGCAACCAAAGGACCCATCGCTATCCTGCATGAGGACTTGCGCCACTGCAATGACCTGAAACGTGAGCATGACACGTTTTTCCCGAGAGCGTCTGCGAAGGGTTCTTCGTAAAAAACATCTGCAGAACTACACCTCCTCTACATCCTCACATCTTCACCTCTGTACAATCACGTTGTCACCTCTATCTCTGCTCATCTTCACATCTGCACATCCTCACATCTACTTCTCAGCTCATCTTCATCTTCACACATCTCACATCCTCACATCTACTTCTCAGCTCATCTTCATCTTCACACATCTACATCTCTGCTCATCTTCACATCTGCACGTCTACATCTCTGCTCATCTTCACATCCTCATATCTACATCTTTCTCTCTTAAGGCCGGGGGCAGTGCCGCCGGACCGCCACGAAATGCAACCCTCTGCGGAGATCGTGCGTGTCGAGTGCGCGAAATGTAGGCGAGAGTGCGATTTGTCTCTGCCGCGGGCAACCCTCTGCGGAGATCGTGCGCGAAATGCAGGCGAGAGTGCGATTTGTCTCTGCCGCGGGCAACCCTCTGCGGAGATCGTGCGTGTCGAGTGCTCGAAATG